CATCTGGACAGAAACAAAGGCAGAGGCTGCTGCTAAGAGCACAGCAGGGGAGGGATGGAGCTGGGCAGGGGCAGAGCCCCTAGGAGGCAGTGACCCAGGGGCTCAGAGACCTCACCTTGGCATGGTGGGGAGAAAATGGAGCCAATGGGCAAAGAGGAAAGCCAAGAGACCACTTGTCCTTCTCTGCCCAGCTGGGATCTTTAAGCTGTCTGCAGTTCCCTGGGTCTACCTAACTCATCCAGGCTAAGTCAAACACGGTTTTGCCTGTCCTCTGTCTCCTAGGATTCACTTAGGGAGGTGGTGTCTCAGCCTACCTTATGGACCCACTGCTTTTCCTAACTCCTGGGAAGTCCCACCTGAAGTCTATCCTAAGTTTCTCCTGCTGCTGCCTACAAATTAACAACTCAACCCTCAGAATCTCCAAAGTTTACAGGGGTGTGTCCTCCCCTGACTTCCACATAGCAGAAGGGGAATACCTAGGATGGAGTCAGTGCCTTTATAAGACAAAAGAAGCCCCAGAGTTTTGATTCATCAAAGGAACTCCTAGATAACTCAGGTCAGCACCCCCTGGGTACTCGTTCTGTCTGGGGACCACCACACCATGCCCACCTCTGGTACTGAGCCTGTCCTTCCATCTCCCCACATCTAGGGGAGAATCATTAATTCATTCAACCACCTCTTTGACAAATATTTATTGAGTACCTACTATGTGCAAGACCCTCTTCTAGGTACTGGGGACACAGCTGACATTCTAGTGCAAGAGTCAATAAACAGACAAAAAATTAAAGCAACAAGATTGTTTCAAGACTGTTGTAAGTGCTGGGAAGGAAATAACAAGGGTGGACGGCAGGGGTGCATCCTTTCTGAGGGTGGTCAGTCAGGACGATTTCACTGAGGAGCTGGCATTTGAGATGAGACCTAGCAGATGTGAAGCTTCACAGGCCAAGGGAATAGTTGAGTCAGCTGAGCCCTCCAGAACATTCTGAGATGGAGTTTGGAGTTCTGTTTGCTCCTGCAGATGGCGCTCCACCTCCCACCTTCCCTCCTCTGGCATTTTCCAGCTCCTGAGCCCTGGCTTTGGGCTGGGGAAGCCCAGCAAAGGATCACAGGGAGAGTGGAGACGAAGCCTAGGGCATTTATTCCTGGATCCCCCTCCAGGAGGTCTCTTGGGCTGGCTGCTACCTTTCAGGCACCAGCTCCGTGCAATTCTTTCTCCTTTGGGTTCCCATAACTGCCCTCTCCTGCTGACCCTTTGGGCCTGGTGACGGTCAGTCTTGAACTTCTGGCCCAGGTTCCTGCACTACAGGTTGGCCCCCCTACAGCCCACTGATGCACTTGGGATTTACTCTCTTTGTCAGTCAGCTCTCCTCCAATGACCCGCATCCAGAAGTGCCGTCTGCTCCCTCCTGGGCTCCTGGCTGCTGTGGAGAGGCCATGGCAGGTCATGTAGGGTTCTGCAAGCAAGGCAAGGAAGTGCTGTTGATTCTAAGAGGGGATTGAAGTTGGTGAACGGTTTTCAGCAGATCATAGCCAGGTGTTCAGAACCTCTGAACCTAGACTCACGGGCTGGGTCTGGAGGTGGGGTCCCGGCAGGAAACCTGAATGTACCTGTCCCCAGAGACGGTCCTGCCTGTGCTCCTCTAGGACTCCATGGCTGGCACGCTTGTGTGCCCTGGGACTGCTTCTCAGATGTCCCTGGGACCAAGAGACACACAAATCGAGGGCAGGCCGTGACTTCAGGCAAATGGTCTCACAGCTGTCTTTCATCCAATCAGTCAGGACTCTTGGATTTCAAGTGACAAAAACTCAACCCAAACAGGCGTAAGCAAAGCAAAACAAAACACAAAGTTGGGAGGGGAGATACTGGCCCACAAACTACAAACCTCAAGAAGCTGTCTGCAGGCGGGGCTGGATCCAGGAGTTCAGCAGCGGGCAGCAGGATTTCCACATGGCTGTTTCTGCTCTCTTTGGTATCGGAAGCCTCTGTCCTTAAAGGTGCCTCCACCCTTGTGTCACATCAATTTCATTTGTAGCTAAAAGTGTAGGACACGTCCCAGATATCCCCAGCAAAAGTCCCAGAATTAATTTTCATCAGCTCTGATGGTCTCACAAGCCCATCTCTGAACCATTACCTAGTCAGTAGAATTAGATCTGCTTTTTAGCCAGGCCTGTACTACATGGACCCAGGAGCAAGGAGGTAGGTCACATCCACTGAACCTCACAGACTAAGAGTTGGGGAGACAGGCTTTCCCCAAAGGAAAAGTAAGGGACAGCTACCAAAACAGGAGGACAGAGTGGTGGGGAGGCCTAGACAGCAGGGGGCCACTGCCTCCCCACCACTGTTCATATGCCTGGCATCTCACATTGTTGTTTTCCTTCTTCATCAGTGCAAACTTTATCTTGATGCCATTGTACCCAAGCACCTGGAACAGTGTTCATTAATGTTTTCCTGGATGAATGAATGAGTGAAATTTATGTCATAGTTTGGTGTCTCCTAATTGTAGTCTATGTTAATGTACTAGGGATACAGTAATAAGGTAGCACAAACTGGGAGGCCTAAACATCTGAAACTTATTCTTTTACAGTTCTGGAAGCTCAAAGTCAAAATCAAGGTGTTGGCAGGGCTGTCTGTCTCTGGAGGCTCTAGGGAAGACTCCTTGCCTTTTCCAGCTTCTGCGGGCTCCCAGCAGTCCCTGGCATGCCTCCTCCTGCAGCTGCAGCATTCTTGTCTCTGCCTCCGTGGTCACCAGGAATTCTCACTCTGTCTCTGTGTGCAAATTTCCACCGGGATACAGTATGACCTTAACTTGGTCACTTCTGCAAAGACTCTCTTTCCAAACAAGGTCACATTTACAGGTCCTGGAGGTTAGGACTTGAACACATCTTTTTGGGAGACACAATTCTCCCCCACCATACAGTCCTTCACTCCTGCATTAGGAGTGGCTAAAAGATGCTGCAGTAACAGACATATCCCCAAATCTCAGGGGTTTATTATGTAAAAGTTGGTTTTTCATTTACAAAGTCTGCAGTGGGTCTGGATGCTTCCATGTTATGGTTCTGCCACATCCACATGGGATTCCCAGTGTTACCATGGCAGGTGACCATGGCAGAGAGAGTTAAGGGATACACAGGGACCCTGGAGTGTTGTATGTGCTCACCAACAAGTCCATTATCACTAGATACTGCTGTGCTCTCCTGGTCCCTCCGACCTTTGCCACTGCAGGACACTGTCACTGTCTGCTGGGTACTGACACCTCTCTCACAGATGCGTCTGTAGCCGCAGCCATTCTAAGTGGTCACTGAGCACCTACACTGAACACCAGTGCCCCTGGGATGCCAAAGTTTCCCGGGTAATGAAGAGATGCCGTCAAAGCTGCCCTCTGCCAGAGGAGCACCAAAGCTATGCCATTTGGGCCCCCATGTCTTACAAAGACTTTTGGGAAAAGGTTCAGCCTCAAATGGGGCAAGTGACGTAAATGAGCAAAACTGAGCTGAGTACCATGCAAGGCAATAGAGAATGATGGGGGACTGTGGCAAACCAAAGTACACGCCGCATCTAAAGGGGGCAGCCATGATTTAGCTTCAGCTAATTGTTACAGTGTGGAAATTGGCACCCTATATTGCCAGATCTTGGGGGAGTTTTAAAAGAAAACCAGAAAGTCATATTTTTACATGAAATTTCCCAAGTTTCAAAATGCTGTTCAGGCTGGATTCAGCCCACAGGCCACGAGTCTGCAAGCCCTGCTTCAGTGAGACAAGTTTTTCCATTTTTCAGTCCCAGCTCTCGGCTCTCCAACTTGGCTCTGACTATCCGCAGGACATGGACAGGAGCCAAATGAGGCCAAGCCAGGAGGCGAACCCCCTCCCCCACTGACCTCAGACTCACCCTCCCCCAACAGCCAAGGCTTCTCCCAGGGTCAGGCCTGTGGGCCCAGCTCCCTCCTGCGGGGCAAAGTCCCTTCCAAGTGTCTCCTTTCAGTCTGATTTCTGGCAGGCCTGCCAGGCAAGCCTGTACTTGTCTGAAGCCCACTAAGACCCAAGCTACAGCAGCTTTTCCGGTTCTTAAGATAAAGACCAGCGCTCATCAGCGTGACCTCCAAGGCCCTCACAGGCAGATTGTTGCTGACTCTTTCAGTCCATGATTCTGCTCCTCAAATTGGTCCCTGCTGACCCTCAGTTCCATTTCCTCACCCTGATGCCCACCCTTTTCAGATAGAGGTAACTCCCTTCCTTAAGCTCTGGACCTTTATATATGTTTTTCCTTAGACTGCCTGAAAGATCTCTCCCACCTCCACCTCCCACCTAGTGTCCTATATCCTATACCCTTCAGGTCTCAGCTCAGATGTCACTTCTTCCAGGAAGCCTTCCCTGACCATCTCTACTAGTTTAGGGTCAGGTGTTGCCATAGTCTGCAGGGTTTCCCCTATCACAGCTTAACACTTAATTAATTCTTTCCTGAGGGAGGAGGGGGACATTCATCAGGGACAGGAACCATGACTGCTGTGTTTCCAAGTGTATATCTAGCGCCTAGCATTATGCCTGAGGCCAGTAAATGTTTAAATATTTGCAGAAGAACGGAGGGAAAGGAAGGAAGGAAGGAAAGAGCAAGGGCCCTTCACTTTATCTGTTTCCATCTCTCTGTTTCTCTCCATTTCTGTCCATCTCTCTCATGTCTCTGTCTTTATCTCAAAATGTCTAACATCTCTTTCTCTGACAACTACCTATTAGCGAAGCCTTTCAGAGCCTTCCTCCCCGTCTCTCACCCTTGCCCCTGGGAGTGCAGGCAGTCCTCTCCCCCAACCCCAACCCCGCCCAACCCGGTTGTCGCCGAGAACAGCTGCTCTCCAACCTCAGGATGTCAACAGTCCAGAGTGGTCACGACAGATGCTTCCCCGCAGGGAGTCCTTTGGCTTTCAGCCCCGGGGTAGAAAGGTCGCGCCCTGATGGTGCATGCAGAGGACAGGAGCAGCTGGCGGCGGGTAAAAGAGGAGGAGAAAAGAGGAGGGAGAGCGGGGAGTGAGGTGGAGAGGGGCGGGCCTGCGTGCGCCCCCCTTCCCCGCGCTGCCAGCGCCCTCCCAGCCCAGCCGGCCACATCTGGCTGCTGCCCTCCCTTGTTTCCGCCGCTTCCAGACTTCCTCCGGCGGTGGCTGGAGGCTGCTCATCTGAGGCTTTAACCGTACAAAGGGACTGCCAGGACCTGCAAGAACAGGCGGCGGCGCGGGCTGGGTCGCGGGGGCCGCACCATGCGCCACTGAGCCGGGCGAAGCCAGGCTACCGAGTTCAGCCGCCCTAGGAGCACCAGCCAGGCGGCGAGGCGGCCACACGCCCCGAGCCAGCGACCGCCGGGCGACGCGCGGGGCCCGGGAGCGCAATGACCGAGGCGCGAGCGGTGCGGGGCGCGCTCGGCAGCCCGCTGCGGGCGCTCTGCGTCCTGGGCTGCCTGTTGGGCCGCGCTGCCGCCGCGCCGTCGCCCATTATCAAGTTCCCTGGAGATGTCGCCCCCAAAACGGACAAAGAGTTGGCTGTGGTGAGTTGTTACGTTGGCCTCAAAGACCCAAGTCTAGACAGACTGTAAGCGGAGTATGGGGGTCTCCCTGCCATAACGCCCAACCCCCGCGGTAGGTACAAGGTGGGGAGGAGCTTAAACAAACAGCTTGGTGGGGGGGGCGCTTTGGCCAGCTGAAGGCGGGATCTCTTTTGCAAAGTGGGGGAGCTTTCTTAAGTGGAGAAGGCCTTTGATAATAAACAACTTGGCAAATTCGCTGGACACCGCAGGGGAGCGAGAAGAGGGAGAAGGGAAGGGGTCTGCTTTGGCCAACAGCTGGAAAGGGCACCTTTCACAAGTAACCGGGCCATTGTCTAGTATCTGGGGATTTACCAAGGGGACGGCTATGAAAACAACTTTTGCACTCATCTGGGGGTTGGCTAACAGAGCCCTTGGCAAGTAGGGGGGGTCTCTTTTGCAAATGGTGGAGGTTCTTTTTAAATCCTTGTGGGCTTAGAAGAGGGTCCTTTGACCCACAATTTGGGCAAGTTGCACACACGAGGATGGACGCTGGGCAAACTTCTGGGAACTTTTTGGCACACATCTGGAGAGGGACCTTGGACAAACCGCCCGAGGGGACCTTTTGGCAAATTTGGGGGGACAGGAGGGAAGTGGAAAGCGCATCTTTTTCGCCTGGCTTAATGGACAAGTTGGCCAGGAGGGTCAAGAGCTGGACCTCGATAAGTTTCCTCGAACTTCTCCAGAGGGGTCAGAGGACCGCCTCGGAGAACTGGCCGGCGGGCGGAGGGAGGGGCCGGCGCTGGAGGGCCCCGGCGCGTGGGGCGGGGGCGGACCGAGCCCGCGCGGGTGGGAAGGCGGCCAGCGAGCCCTCCCTCCTGGCGGGGCTCCGAGCTGCTGCGGCTCAGATGTTGTTTTGCGAGCGCGCGCGCCTGGCTCTAGGGGCATCCTGGCCACAGCGTTGCACCGGCGGGGCTGGGGGCAGCTGAAGGGCATTACCCTTCACCCTGTAAGCGCCTCGGGCCAGGAACCGCCCCCTCCCACCCCCAGCCCTGCCGCCATGATCCTTCCAGATAAGACAAATGCCAACCTTAGTCCTTCAGCCACCCAGAAAGCCCCTATTCTCCTTCAGCCTGATTCCCAACGTATCCAGGACAGGACTCCTGGCCTGTGCCCTCTGGTCCTATCCTACGAACCCACTTGCAGAATGTGACAGCCCCCCACCCCAATTTTCCAGCGTCTAGTCTTGCACTCCCTTTAGATAAATGGCTTAGGAGACCTTTCACTTTAGGGGCCTACTTTTCCCAAGGGTCTGGAGCTGGTTGGCATAATGACATGGCTGGGAGAGAAGGGGGAGCTTTGATAATGGACAAAGCCACTTGGGTTCCCAGGCCTCCTACAGCCCTGGAAGCCAAGTAGCCCAGAGGCAGTGCAGCAGGGGCTTGAGAAGATGCAGCTGGGCTTAGACTGCCTGGCTTCAAATCAGGGAGTTCACTAACCAACTGGCCCAGTAGGGCAAAGGACTGAACTCCTCAGTCTCAGCAGCTGCTTCTGCCAACTGGCAATAATAATGGTACCTGTCTCAGGTTAAAGAATCATCTTGGACACTTTGAAGTGTACCTGGCATGTAGTAAGCATTCAATAAAGGTTAGCCATTATGATTACTGTTATTTACACCTTCTATTTCCCCTTTCCTAACAACCCCACACACAAGGTTAAGGTTCCCCCACCACCAAGGTTAGGTCTCCTGGCTCCTTTCACCATTCCTACTCAGCACCGATCATATATTTAATTTTGCGTTTATTTGTGGTCCATCAGCCTCCCCACACCGGGATTTGAACCATAGAGACTAGAAACCTCTGTCCTGCTCACTACTTTATTCCCAACACTAGCACGGGGCTTGGCACATAGTAGGTGTCTAAAAGTATTTGTTGAGCAAATAAATGAGCTGCATGGTGCCCGACCCTTTGCAGGGGCTTGTCTGGTTTTAGCCTCAGTTTGGGCAGAGCTGGCTCCCCAGCCCCTGAAGAACATGACTTTGTGGTTTTCTCTTTGGAAATGGTAGGTCTAGGATTTGAACCCAGGTCTGTCTGCTGCTGGAGCCCATTAGGTGCCCTTGAATCTCCTTAAAAGAAAAATGAGGAAAATAATCGCTTTGTCATCAGTGGTTAGGTGGGTTAAAATAGATGACAGTACTAAAGACGAGTAGAAAAGAGGTACAGTTCCACACATGGGCTCTGGATTTGGATTCAAATCCAGCTCTGCCAGTTGTGAGCTGTGTGAACTTAGGCAAGTTTTTAAACCTCTCTGTGCTTTAGCTTCTTCCTTTGTGTGATGGAGAGAGAGAGTAGTAATACTAGCTACATTAGAGAGCTGCCTTGAGCATTAAATGAATTAACACCTGCTGCCTTCAGTGCCTGGGCATGCATTAAGCACCCAAGTGCAATCACTCAGCTGGTGTGAAGAGTGGTTTGGGAACTCAGAACACCTCCCAGTGCTCCCGTAGTCCCTGATTACTTTGGTCAACAATATGCCTAAGGTGGCTGCTTGCCTTGGGGTGTTCATTTCTTCCAGCAATACCTGAACACCTTCTACGGCTGCCCCAAGGAGAGGTGCAACCTGTTTGTGCTGAAGGACACGCTGAAGAAGATGCAGAAGTTCTTCGGGCTACCCCAGACAGGTGACCTCGACCAGCGCACCATCGAGACCATGCGGAAGCCACGCTGCGGCAACCCAGATGTGGCCAACTACAACTTCTTCCCCCGCAAGCCCAAGTGGGACAAGAACCAGATCACATACAGGTGCCAAGGCGGAGCTGGGGGAGGCGGGGCCAGTGGGCTGGGAGGCACTGGGTCTCCTTGGGTCTTGCCTTCTCCCCACTCCAGGCCCCCAGGAGGTGTCTTGTGAGGGCTGGCTTCTTGAGGAGTTTGCATACAAAGTTCTTAGGAGCTGGAGTCAGACAGACCTGGATTTGAATCTCACATGGGGCATTGAGCTACTTAGTTTTTAGTACTCTGAGTCTTCCTTGGCTTTCCAACTTACCAAATGGGCCTAAAAAATAACCTTTCCCATCAGTTGGTTGGGAACCAAGCTAGATCACGTATATGAAGGGATTTCACAGTGTCCAGCATATAGTAAGGGTATAGTAAATGCTAGTCACAATTACTATTATTAGATGGGGTCACTGGGGCCAGTGGAGGGAACCTGATGATTGGTCGCTAACTGGGTTTTGAACTGCAGTATAGNCCCTGATGCCCACCCTTTTCAGATAGAGGTAACTCCCTTCCTTAAGCTCTGGACCTTTATATATGTTTTTCCTTAGACTGCCTGAAAGATCTCTCCCACCTCCACCTCCCACCTAGTGTCCTATATCCTATACCCTTCAGGTCTCAGCTCAGATGTCACTTCTTCCAAGAAGCCTTCCCTGACCATCTCTACTAGTTTAGGGTCAGGTGTTGCCATAGTCTGCAGGGTTTCCCCTATCACAGCTTAACACTTAATTAATTCTTTCCTGAGGGAGGAGGGGGACATTCATCAGGGACAGGAACCATGACTGCTGTGTTTCCAAGTGTATATCTAGCGCCTAGCATTATGCCTGAGGCCAGTAAATGTTTAAATATTTGCAGAAGAACGGAGGGAAAGGAAGGAAGGAAGGAAAGAGCAAGGGCCCTTCACTTTATCTGTCTCTCTGTTTCTCTCCATTTCTGTCCATCTCTCTCATGTCTCTGTCTTTATCTCAAAATGTCTATCTCTTTCTCTGACAACTACCTATTAGCGAAGCCTTTCAGAGCCTTCCTCCCCGTCTCTCACCCTTGCCCCTGGGAGTGCAGGCAGTCCTCTCCCCCAACCCCAACCCCGCCCAACCCGGTTGTCGCCGAGAACAGCTGCTCTCCAACCTCAGGATGTCAACAGTCCAGAGTGGTCACGACAGATGCTTCCCCGCAGGGAGTCCTTTGGCTTTCAGCCCCGGGGTAGAAAGGTCGCGCCCTGATGGTGCATGCAGAGGACAGGAGCAGCTGGCGGCGGGTAAAAGAGGAGGAGAAAAGAGGAGGGAGAGCGGGGAGTGAGGTGGAGAGGGGCGGGCCTGCGTGCGCCCCCCTTCCCCGCGCTGCCAGCGCCCTCCCAGCCCAGCCGGCCACATCTGGCTGCTGCCCTCCCTTGTTTCCGCCGCTTCCAGACTTCCTCCGGCGGTGGCTGGAGGCTGCTCATCTGAGGCTTTAACCGTACAAAGGGACTGCCAGGACCTGCAAGAACAGGCGGCGGCGCGGGCTGGGTCGCGGGGGCCGCACCATGCGCCACTGAGCCGGGCGAAGCCAGGCTACCGAGTTCAGCCGCCCTAGGAGCACCAGCCAGGCGGCGAGGCGGCCACACGCCCCGAGCCAGCGACCGCCGGGCGACGCGCGGGGCCCGGGAGCGCAATGACCGAGGCGCGAGCGGTGCGGGGCGCGCTCGGCAGCCCGCTGCGGGCGCTCTGCGTCCTGGGCTGCCTGTTGGGCCGCGCTGCCGCCGCGCCGTCGCCCATTATCAAGTTCCCTGGAGATGTCGCCCCCAAAACGGACAAAGAGTTGGCTGTGGTGAGTTGTTACGTTGGCCTCAAAGACCCAAGTCTAGACAGACTGTAAGCGGAGTATGGGGGTCTCCCTGCCATAACGCCCAACCCCCGCGGTAGGTACAAGGTGGGGAGGAGCTTAAACAAACAGCTTGGTGGGGGGGGCGCTTTGGCCAGCTGAAGGCGGGATCTCTTTTGCAAAGTGGGGGAGCTTTCTTAAGTGGAGAAGGCCTTTGATAATAAACAACTTGGCAAATTCGCTGGACACCGCAGGGGAGCGAGAAGAGGGAGAAGGGAAGGGGTCTGCTTTGGCCAACAGCTGGAAAGGGCACCTTTCACAAGTAACCGGGCCATTGTCTAGTATCTGGGGATTTACCAAGGGGACGGCTATGAAAACAACTTTTGCACTCATCTGGGGGTTGGCTAACAAGGCCCTTGGCAAGTAGGGGGGGTCTCTTTTGCAAATGGTGGAGGTTCTTTTTAAATCCTTGTGGGCTTAGAAGAGGGTCCTTTGACCCACAATTTGGGCAAGTTGCACACACGAGGATGAACGCTGGGCAAACTTCTGGGAACTTTTTGGCACACATCTGGAGAGGGACCTTGGACAAACCGCCCGAGGGGACCTTTTGGCAAATTTGGGGGGACAGGAGGGAAGTGGAAAGCGCATCTTTTTAGCCTGGCTTAATGGACAAGTTGGCCAGGAGGGTCAAGAGCTGGACCTCCATAAGTTTCCTCGAACTTCTCCAGAGGGGTCAGAGGACCGCCTCGGAGAACTGGCCGGCGGGCGGAGGGAGGGGCCGGCGCTGGAGGGCCCCGGCGCGTGGGGCGGGGGCGGACCGAGCCCGCGCGGGTGGGAAGGCGGCCAGCGAGCCCTCCCTCCTGGCGGGGCTCCGAGCTGCTGCGGCTCAGATGTTGTTTTGCGAGCGCGCGCGCCTGGCTCTAGGGGCATCCTGGCCACAGCGTTGCACAGGCGGGGCTGGGGGCAGCTGAAGGGCATTACCCTTCACCCTGTAAGCGCCTCGGGCCAGGAACCGCCCCCTCCCACCCCCAGCCCTGCCGCCATGATCCTTCCAGATAAGACAAATACCAACCTTAGTCCTTCAGCCACCCAGAAAGCCCCTATTCTCCTTCAGCCTGATTCCCAACGTATCCAGGACAGGACTCCTGGCCTGTGCCCTCTGGTCCTATCCTACGAACCCACTTGCAGAATGTGACAGCCCCCCACCCCAATTTTCCAGCGTCTAGTCTTGCACTCCCTTTAGATAAATGGCTTAGGAGACCTTACACTTTAGGGGCCTACTTTTCCCAAGGGTCTGGAGCTGGTTGGCATAATGACATGGCTGGGAGAGAAGGGGGAGCTTTGATAATGGACAAAGCCACTTGGGTTCCCAGGCCTCCTACAGCCCTGGAAGCCAAGTAGCCCAGAGGCAGTGCAGCAGGGGCTTGAGAAGATGCAGCTGGGCTTAGACTGCCTGGCTTCAAATCAGGGAGTTCACTAACCAACTGGCCCAGTAGGGCAAAGGACTGAACTCCTCAGTCTCAGCAGCTGCTTCTGCCAACTGGCGATAATAATGGTACCTGTCTCAGATTAAAGAATCATCTTAGACACTTTGAAGTGTACCTGGCATGTAGTAAGCATTCAATAAAGGTTAGCCATTATGATTACTGTTATTTACACCTTCTATTTCCCCTTTCCTAACAACCCCACACACAAGGTTAAGGTTCCCCCACCACCAAGGTTAGGTCTCCTGGCTCCTTTCACCATTCCTACTCAGCACCGATCATATATTTAATTTTGCATTTATTTGTGGTCCATCAGCCTCCCCACACCGGGATTTGAACCATAGAGACTAGAAACCTCTGTCCTGCTCACTACTTTATTCCCAACACTAGCATGGGGCTTGGCACATAGTAGGTGTCTAAAAGTATTTGTTGAGCAAATAAATGAGCTGCATGGTGCCCGACCCTTTGCAGGGGCTTGTCTGGTTTTAGCCTCAGTTTGGGCAGAGCTGGCTCCCCAGCCCCTGAAGAACATGACTTTGTGGTTTTCTCTTTGGAAATGGTAGGTCTAGGATTTGAACCCAGGTCTGTCTGCTGCTGGAGCCCATTAGGTGCCCTTGAATCTCCTTAAAAGAAAAATGAGGAAAATAATCGCTTTGTCATCAGTGGTTAGGTGGGTTAAAATAGATGACAGTACTAAAGACGAGTAGAAAAGAGGTACAGTTCCACACATGGGCTCTGGATTTGGATTCAAATCCAGCTCTGCCAGTTGTGAGCTGTGTGAACTTAGGCACGTTTTTAAACCTCTCTGTGCTTTAGCTTCTTCCTTTGTGTGATGGAGAGAGAGAGTAGTAATACTAGCTACATTAGAGAGCTGCCTTGAGCATTAAATGAATTAACACCTGCTGCCTTCAGTGCCTGGGCATGCATTAAGCACCCAAGTGCAATCACTCAGCTGGTGTGAAGAGTGGTTTGGGAACTCAGAACACCTCCCAGTGCTCCCGTAGTCCCTGATTACTTTGGTCAACAATATGCCTAAGGTGGCTGCTTGCCTTGGGGTGTTCATTTCTTCCAGCAATACCTGAACACCTTCTACGGCTGCCCCAAGGAGAGGTGCAACCTGTTTGTGCTGAAGGACACGCTGAAGAAGATGCAGAAGTTCTTCGGGCTACCCCAGACAGGTGACCTCGACCAGCGCACCATCGAGACCATGCGGAAGCCACGCTGCGGCAACCCAGATGTGGCCAACTACAACTTCTTCCCCCGCAAGCCCAAGTGGGACAAGAACCAGATCACATACAGGTGCCAAGGCGGGGCTGGGGGAGGCGGGGCCAGTGGGCTGGGAGGCACTGGGTCTCCTTGGGTCTTGCCTTCTCCCCACTCCAGGCCCCCAGGAGGTGTCTTGTGAGGGCTGGCTTCTTGAGGAGTTTGCATACAAAGTTCTTAGGAGCTGGAGTCAGACAGACCTGGATTTGAATCTCACATGGGGCATTGAGCTACTTAGTTTTTAGTGCTCTGAGTCTTCCTTGGCTTTCCAACTTACCAAATGGGCCTAAAAAATAACCTTTCCCATCAGTTGGTTGGGAACCAAGCTATATCACGTATATGAAGGGATTTCACAGTGTCCAGCATATAGTAAGGGTATAGTAAATGCTAGTCACAATTACTATTATTAGATGGGGTCACTGGGGCCAGTGGAGGGAACCTGATGATTGGTCGCTAACTGGGTTTTGAACTGCAGTATAGAGTTGTTATAATTGGTTGTTAACTGAGCTGAGAGCTCTGCTCTTTGTGGTTCATGCTGGATTCCAAGGGTGAGATCTCTGCCCTGTGTCCCATCATGAACTATTTATGTCCCTGAGTACTCGCTGCTCCCGCCAGGCAGAAGGGAGGGACAATACTCCAGAAACAGTGCCTGGGCTGGTGTGGGAGTCTGTGGGGCTTCAAGGCATTCTGGGCGGGCTGCGCTCCCAGTACGTCTGGGATCAATATGCAGACACATATATCTGCACAGGCATACCCACCCATATACATGCATAAACCCATGCCCCCTCACATATTATGCACACAGTTGCACGCCTGTGCATATGCATGCACCCTTGCACATATTTGTGCACACTCACACATACACAATTGTAGATATACACCTTGCACACACATACACATTCGCGTGCATTTCTACCACCTCCAGGATCATTGGCTACACGCCTGATCTGGACCCTGAGACAGTGGATGATGCCTTTGCTCGTGCCTTCCAAGTCTGGAGTGGTGTGACCCCACTGCGGTTTTCCCGTATCCATGATGGAGAGGCTGACATCATGATCAACTTCGGACGCTGGGGTAGGCAGAAGAGGGACCAGCAGGGGGTCAATATAGAGACAAGGGGTCCATCTGGCCGTTAGAGAGGCACTGGGTTCCTGAGGACAGGTTAGATAGGATAGTGGCAGATGCAGATGGAGTGGCACAGATGGAGGTGGACTCTGGGGCGCCATGTGGATGCGAGGACAGATGACCTGACACTGGATATGCCCTGGCGGCCGTATAAGCCTGGAGGCAAGTGGTCCATCTTCACTGTCCCACATGGGAGCCGCTGGGTACATAGGGCTATTTCTATTTAAATTAGTTAACATTGAATACAATTGAAAATTCAGTTTCTTGGTCACACTAGCCACATTTCAAGTGCTCAGTAGCCACGTGAGGCTGGTGGTTCCTGAACTGAGCACCACTAGGAGCATTCCCATCATTGTAGAAAGTTCTATGGGATAATGCTAGCAGGCACTGACGAACTCTGGGCATGAGAGTGGGTCAGAAACAGGGGAGCAGTGTAGACATGTGGGTGAGTGGAATAGGACCTAGGGTCAAGGGAGCCATGTGGGTTGGAGGTGGGAACCCTGGCAGTGTGTAGCCGTGGTGAGTGGTATAGCTGTGGTACGGTGTGTGTAGTGCCGGGCGTAGATGGCGCACACAGCAGTGGAGCTGTGTGGGAGGGTGGGGTGGAGCTGGGTGGCAAACAGGAGCACGAGTTAGTGTTGTATGGCATGAAGGTGGGTGATACGGCCAAGGACGGCGTGGAGGTGGGGAGATGGTACACACACTGGGGACAGTGAGGGTGAGCAGGAAGGACACTGGTGTGGCAGGGTAGGGAGCTAGGGAGGTACAGCGCCATTGGCAGTAGTACAGACAGTGGAGGTCGGTTATAGAGATACCAGGGACCTTGTCGATTTGGGGGCATAGTGCAGACCACAGGAGAGTAACAATCAACTCAGCAGCTCTCTGCTGGCTCACTGTGCC